CATAGATTGCTAGGATTGATTAAAAACAACAAAAACCATGGTCCAACTATATGCTGTCTATAGGAAACTTTCTTTAGATCTAAAGACAGATTGTCAGATAAATGGATACACATAATGTATATGCATACAGTAGGATATTATTCAGCATTTAAAAGGAAGAAAGTTCTCACACATGCAACAACATGGATGAACCTTGAGGACATTGTGCTCAGTGAAAAAAGCCAGTCACAAAGGGACTAATACTATGATTTCACTTATAAGAGTTACTTAGAGTAATCAGATTCACAGAGACAGAAAGCATGGTGGCTGCCAGGGACTGAGGGAAGGTGGACTGGGACTTAATGTTTAATGGGAAGATGAGAAGGGTTCTGGGGTGATGGTTTGCACAATAATATTAATGTACTTAACACCACTGAGCTGTATACTTAAACAAGCTCAAGATAGTAAACTTTGTTATGTGTATTTGTATTAGGCACATGTAATTGTAAGAAATAGTTCGGAGATTAATTATACCCTTCACCCAATCAGTTCCCCTAATGTATAACTTTATAGTAATGTACCTTCTAGAACCAGTATCACAACCAGGACATGGAGATCAGTAGCATCTTACTCAGATTTTACCAGTTTCACATGTACCGATTTATATTTGTGTGTGTGTACTAACCAGTTGTATCTGTCATGCACATTCCTGTGATAGCACCGCAGTCCTGCTCCATCGCAAGGACCGCCCGGCTCTCCTTTTGTAGCTGTAACTTTCTTGCCCTCCTTTCCCCCAACCTCTGACCACTACTGCGATGTTCTTCATTTTATAGTTTAATTATTTCAGGAATGTTATATTAATGGACCCATGCAGCATGTAAACTTATGAAGTCGGCTTTTTTTCATTCAGCATCAATCTCCTACAAGTTGCCATGTGCACCAATGGTTTATTCCTTTTCAGTGCTCGTTAGTAGTCTGTGGGTTATCTCTGGATTTCCAATTTGCTTACTGTTTTAACATTGAGGTATGTATGGGTTGTTTTCACTTGGGGGGCTCTTATGAATAAAACTGCTGTGTACATTTGTGTATAAGTTTTTGTATGAATGTGTTTTTCTCTGGAATAAATGACTCCTAAGGTATTTGTGTTTGACTTTTTAAGAAATTATCAAATTATTTTCAAAATGGTTGTACCACTTTATATTCCCACTGACAATGTGTAAGTTATCTGGTTTCTGTGTATTTTTGCTAAGATTTGGTGTTGTCATTGTACTTAAATTTTTTTTTTTTTAGCCATTCTGATAGGTATGGAGTGATATCTCATTGTGATTTCAATTTTCATTCCCATGATGGCTAATGATGTTGAACATTTTTTCATGTGTTTAGTTGCTTTTTTTCTTTTAATCCTCACCCGAGGACATTTTTCCATTTTTTGTTCAGCTAGAGCAGGAGGGAGAGAGAGGAAGAGAGAGAGAGAGAAACATCAATGTGAAGGGACACATCGAGTGGCTGCCACCCGCACGACCAACCAGGGCCGGGGACAAACTGCAACCGAGGTGCGTGCCCTTAGCGGGAACCGAACCCGGGTCTCTCTGTACCGCAGGCCGACGCTCCAACCGCTGAGCCAAACCGGCCAGGGCTAGTTGATTTTTTTATATATCCTCTTCAGTGGATGCAGTCGGTTTTTGTATATTGATCTTGTATCCTGCATCCTTATTAAACTCATTTATTAGTTCTAGGAGGTTTTTTGGAAGATCCTGTATTTTATTGTTGTTGTTAATCCTCACCCAAGGGTATTCTTCCATTGATTTTTAGATAGAATGGAAGGGAGGGAGGGGTGGGGTGGGGTGGGGTGGGGAGACAGAGAGAGAGAGAAAGAAACATGGACTTGAGAGAGACCAAGTGACTGGCCACCTCCCACCTGACCCTGGCAGGGATCTGGGACAAACTGCAACCGAGGTACATGCCCTTAGCAGGAACTGAACCCAGGTCTCTGGTCCATGGGCCAACGTTCTAACCACTGAGCCAAACCAGCCAGGACTCATTCAATTTCTTTAATAGATACAAAGTTGTTCAAGTTATGTAATTCCTCTGTGAACTTTGATAGCGTTTTTTTAAAAATTTTATTTTATTTCTCACCCAAGGCTATTTTTCTATGTATCATCAAGGGGAGAGAGAGAGAGAAACATCGATGTGATAGAACCACATCGACTGATTGCCTCCTGCACGACCCCACCAGGGTCGGGGATGAACTGCCACCGAGGTACGTGCCTTTTGAACCCGAGACTCACTGGTCTGCGGGTCGATGCTCTAACTGCTGAGCCAAATCGGCCAGGGCTGATAGTGTCTTTCAAGAAATTTGTCCTTTTTTTATTAAAAATTTTTCTTTTATTGATTGTAGAGAGAGAGGAAGGGAGAAGGAGAGAGAGAGAAACATCGACAAGAGAGAACATCGATTGGCTGCCTCCTGTGTGTCCCCCACTGGGGATCGGGCCCACCACCTGGGCATGTGCCCTGACTGGGAATCAAACCGGCGACCTCTTGGTGCAGGGTCGACGCTCAACCACTGAGGCACACCAGCCAGGCAGGAATTTGTCCATTTAATCAAAGTTGTTGGTTTTATGGATTTAATAAATTCCCTTACCTTGTTATTGTCTATAGGATTTGTAGTAATATCCCCTTTTTTATTTCTAAAATGTCTTCCATTGTGGTCAGCAAACATACTTTATATAATTTGAATCTTCTTACATTTTTTGAGAGTTATTTCTTGGTCATCATATGGTCTTTTTTTGGTAAATGCTCTTCCATGCACCTGGAAACAATGTATGTTGTTTGGTTGTGTTCTATAAATGCCAGTTATGACAAATTGGTTGATAGTGTTATTCAAATCTAATGTATCCTGACAGATTTTTATCTACTTTTCCACCAATTATTGAGAGAAAGATGTGTCTGTCTACTGTCATCTGTGTGTTTCCGGGTCATGTTCAGTTGATTTTTCTGCTCAGTACAGATCATACTTTCCTGCTTTTTTATGTGCCTGATAGTTTTCTATTGGATGCCCGATGTTGGGGATTTTACATGATTGGACCTGGGTATTTGTGTGTGTGTTTAATGTGTTCTTGAGCTTTGTTCTAGGCCACAGTTAACTTACTTGGGAACAGGTTGATCCTTTCAAATCCTGCTGTTACGTTTTGTTAGGCAGGCTCAGAGCTGTCTGTAGGGCAACCTTTTTTTTTTTTTTCTTCATTATTGTCCCTTCCCCCCCCAAACCTATTTAGACATCATTTTTTTCTATTCACCATACCCTCCCTTGAAATTTCATACCCTCCTGTATATCTGTACACCTGCACTTTGAAATGATACCAGATCTAAAGAAAAGCTGCGGAAGTGGTATAGAGTTCTCATGTACTGTTGACCAGCTTCTCCTAACACACCTTGCAGAACTGTGGTAAAGTGATCACAGTTAGGAAACAGACATTCATGTAAAATATTAACTAAATTATGGAATTAATTGGAGTTTCATTAGTTTTCCTGTTAATGTTTTTTTCTGTTCCAAGGTTCAGTCCAGGGTCCCACACTGTGTCTGTACTTTATACATAAAGCATGTTCTTTGTCCTGCCCACAGAACCAGCCTCAGCTTCCTTGGGGTGCGTTGCTCCTGTTGGGAACGCCTGGTCTGAAGCTAGTCCTGCTCCATCAGTAAAAGGCTGCTCTTCTGTGTTGTGCCCAGTGAGCTATATTTTTAGTAGCTTAGGGCTGGGAGACAAATCCAGTCCCTCTTTGCTTTATCTTGTCTGGAAGGGCAAGTCTCCCCAGAAACGGACACTTTCTTAGAAGTTACACATCCTACTTTACAGCCTGATCATTCTATTCCAAAGTATGAGCCCAAGAGAAATGAAAACATGCAGCAACACATAAACTTGAATGTGAATGTTTATAGTGGAAGCTTTATTTCTAAGAGCCAAAAGCTGGGAACCACCCAGATGTCCGTCAGGAGGTTAATGGGCAGATGACTTCACACCATTCAGCAGAACACTGGACAACAAGTAATGAAGTGTGTATACATGCAACAATAGAGAGATGTCTTATGCTGAGTCAGAGAAGCCAAAGCAAAAATCTCTATATGTGTAATTAGTCTATAGCTAAGGAGAGTCGTGGTTGTCAGGGTGGCATGTAGAGGGCTGGTCGCAGAGGGGACGGGAGACTCGAGGAAAAGGAAATGTTTTTGTTGATTGTGGGATGAGTTCATGGATGAACAGATGACAGAACTTGAAAATAAATATTTTAAGTATGTGCGTTGTATTGTATGACAATGATATATGCCATAAAATTGTAAAATTAAATAGAAAATGAGGAATTTGGACTCTTCTTGGGAAATCTATTTCGTATTAGGCATTCATGTGTATAAAGATTGATTAGTATAGATTATAGTGATTTTCAAAATTTATAATAGTGATGATGTTTAATTTGTTGGCAACTTAAGACCTCACTTGATGCCTACAGCAGGTCCGTCACAGACCTTGTGCTGGTGACTGCTTAGTGTTGTCGTGAGTGGGAGGACGAGCCCTGGCGTCCGGCAGCGGGAGGTCTAGGCCCACAGCTGGTCGGAGGGGCTCTCCAGCCTCGCGCCGTAAGGCCGTTCTGGGGGTCGTGTGCTTACTCTCTAATTTCCTAGAAGGCACTAGTGACTTTTAAAATTTGAATTTAATGTGCAGAAAAGTTTACATCTCATAAATGTATATTTTGCTGCAGTTTTTACACAATGAATAATTACCATTCCCAGGCTGTACTGTTTCTTCATCTGTGAAGAAACAGTACAGCCTGGGAATGGTAATTTTTCAAAATACAGGTCTTTCGGGCATAGTTAGATAAAATTGAACACATGCTGAATGACCATGACTAGATGATTTCCAATTTTAAAGTTTTTGACATGGATTGTATACTATACAAAAATTGTTCTGTTTATTTGTATTTGTATAAACATAGCTTATATTTTGTTTAATGAAGATATTTCTTCTTGGCAGTGGACTCTAAAAAAATTGACCAGGAGGGGAAAATCCCAATGGAAACACTAAAGAAACTGAAGAGCCTGGGGGTTTTTGGGTTACAAGTCCCAGAAGAATATGGTAAGTAACTAAACCACCCCTTGCTGGTTGGCTCTTAAGAAAGTACTCTATTTTTGTTCAAAAAAGGGTTCTGTTTGTGAAGGACAGCCTTTCAACGCAGTGTGTCTGAGATCAAGCTGTGAACCATGAAAGGACCTCTCATTGGCTGGACACCAGGTGGCTGGCTCGTGAGCATGTGGACTGGCTCCGGGGCCGGGGGCAGGAAGTGGGTCGGAGGCCAGCAGCAGCGGTGCCGCGGCCTCTGGCAGCGCAGGGCGGTCAGAGCCCAGCGGGCTGACTTCAGTGTTGTCTCCACGGTGCAGCCCTCTGGTGTCTCAGGCACAGGCATTGCCCCTGGAACCACTTCGCTTCATGTTGGGGGTTAACCGTGTGCGAGTCCAGGTGCCAGGCTCCCCTGGGTCGGCTCCTCATCCTGGTGCAGGGCAGGCTGCAGGGCACAAGGTGCATCTAAAGCACCGGCTTGACCTTTGCAGACCAAGGGCTGGTCCTGTTCTGCTGTCGCGAATGCACTGACTGTGCTTAGAACTGTGGGCTCGGGGGGTTGGACCCGGAGACCTTCACGGAGCCCTGTGTCCTCTGGATGTGCAAACCGCTCACGGAGCACGCGGTGCCACCTGAGCTCCCATGGAAGACCTTGCCTTTCTCCTCAGGGTCCCAGGACAGTTCTGTGTGCTCAGAGGGGCAGGACATGCCTGAGACAGCAGGTCGCACATGCGCGTGCTCACTCACCATGCCCTGCTCACGCTCAGCCTTCCCCGGACCACCTCTCGGAGCCGTCCCCTTAGCCCTGATCAGCTGGGAGCAGGGGTTCAGGGGAGGGTTAGCGCTGCTCCGAGAGCTGGGTGCATTTCATGGGTGTGAGCTGTTCATTTGGAGGTTTTGCACAGCGAGTCCCAGAAACGAGGAGCTGTGTTGATGTTCTGTCTTCCTGCCTGGTTTGCCTGAGAGACGAGTTACACTGCCTTGTCCCTGTACCTCAACCTGGGCAGCCACACTGGGGGGCCTTCAGTGTTTGTGGAATAAGTACCCATTGTACCCAGCCTGAGACAAAATGTGAAAATTTAGGTCAAATTCGTGTGATACCTAATTTCCTTGATTCTGAGGCATATTTTAATCAGGTTAAATCTTAGTTTAATATGTATGTGTATGGCTTTGCTTTAAACTGTTAATTGGTGTATCTTACTTGTCATCCTATGAGATACCTTTCATCACATTTCCAGGCAGGTAAAAATATTACCCCATTTATTCAGAAGACAGAATAATCAGCGATGTTGCTCCTCCTAGTGGTGGAATTTACAGCACAGACCTCTGCAGGGAGAAGGTACACACTCTGTTTCTAACAGGGATCACAGCCTCTGAGTGAGGTCCAGGGACCACGCTCTCTCCAGACATCTGAGGCTTGTCGGTGTTATAACTGACAGGTGACGAGGGAATCACCTGCCATACACATGGGCTGCATCGAATATCAGGCTAACAAGCAGGTGGGGATAGCGCTGGAGAGGTGGTGGTTCTGTCATCCACTGGAAAACGTAAGTGCTCGGAGTGAACAAACACCAGGAGAAAGCTCGAGACATAGCCAGGTCGGCAGTAACACATACTCCCCTTCCAGGTCATTTTAAAGTCATTTCTTGATTGATGAAAAGTACTTAATTTTTCTCCCAAACAGTTTCCGTGTAAAATTCAGACATGTCTTCTTACATCTGCGCGTCTTCCCTGCTCGTGTGGGGTGTGTTCATGTGCGCGTGGCTGCTCGGCTCTCCTCCCTCACTCTCGTCTGTGTCCTGCTCTTCCTGCCATGGGTGATAATAGTCACATTTGAGGCCCCCCCTTCTTTGGGAAATGAAGGCAACAGCAACCTTATGTTCATGCCCCCAAAGCTTTGGGGCACCTTCCGCAGTCTGGAGCACTCTAAAGTGCGGCTGGAAACCCCCATGCAGGGAAATGGAGGCCTTGCTACCAACTGAGCGACATTTCCTTCCTGGTTCCCTGTGGCCACCCCGGCCTGTCGAGGCTCCTTCCTGCCCTTCAGCTCTCCCTCCACCGGCAGTCTCCACCCACCTGTCGCCCTTCCCCACGTGCTTGCTGCCCCCGTGACTTGAGTGATAGATAACTTCTGGGGGGAAAGCGTCGGAATTGAGTTATTTAACAAACAAAACTGACTCTCTCAGTATATAAAATAAGTACAAGTGCTTTGATTGAAACAAGCGGGCAGGGGGCAGTGGTCCTGCAGAGCCCTCACGCCAGGCAGGGCCAGTCCGCTCAGGTGGACTCAGCCCTTCCCTTTGTGGGATGGTGGCTCCTGTGCCCGCACCCCACACACCCTGAGTTCAGGGCCCAGCGACCTCAGGCCTCAGTTTACCACTGTGAGATGCACACGTGGCCACCAGCCACCTGTGGCAGTTGAAGATGAAAAGCAAAACATACACGTTCAGTGGAGATTTGTTTCTGTTCCTTTAATCTTTGTCTTTTCACTCCTGGACAGTGATTCCCAGTCAGGGCGATTTGTCCCCCAGCAGACATTTGACAATAGAGAATATTTTGTGGTCAAACCGTGGGGAGGGAAAACTTCTCGCATTGAGTGGTGGAGGCCGAGGGTGCTGCCAAACATACTGCAGTACAGGACAGCCTCGCAGTGAGGCCGGCCCACCTGGGTGTCAGCCCTGCCACGGCAGGGAGTCTCTGTCCTGGTCAGCTAGACACGGGGACTGCGATGCTGGGGAGCTCATTTTACAGAGATCTGATTCTGACAGGAGGCACTCACAGCATATTAGATGATGTAATGTGAGGATATTTTTATATTTTTGTATTACAGATTTTTTTTATGTTAAAAAGATATTTGTATATGCTCATATGCCTAGAAGAATTCTAACAGGATATACACAGAAGTGCTGAGTGATGTTTATGGGTGACTTTTGCTTTCCTTGTACCTTTCTGTATTGTGATTTTGTAAAATGGTGATCTGCCATTTGTTTATAATCAGAAAAGACCAGTAAAGCTGTTTGCCTTTAACGGGAGGAATTTGGGGCGGGACCGTAAGTAAAGCTAGTCTGCTTCTCCTCCAGGTGGCCTGGGCCTCTCCAACACCATGTACGCGCGGCTGTCGGAGATCATCAGCCACGACGGGTCCATCACTGTGACCCTGGCAGCACACCAGACTCTCGGCCTCAAGGTCAGCGTCTGGGACGCTCTCTGCGGCTCAGGACCTTCAGGAAGCGGCTGTCGGGTGCGGGAGGAGGGCTGCTCCTGCCCCTCGCCCTGCAGGCCTCGGAGGCGCACGTCCCCTCCCAGCCTGCGGTCCTTCCCTTCGAACCCTCCTCCCGCGGAGCCCAGCCGCTGCCGCTGCCTCCGCAGGCCTGTCGTCCCCGGGACGCGAGCCCCCCAGCTCCTGCTGCTGTCGGTGCGCGTCTCCCTCCGCCACCGGCTCAGCACTCAGGGCAGCTTCAGGTCGCCCCGCTCGTGCCGCCGCCAGCGACTTGGGCGGCTCTGCCCTGTGTGGGAGCCGAGTGAGCGGAGCACAGCCTGCTGGGCCCTCGCGGTGAGGCCTTGTGCTGCAGCCGTTCACTCGGCACCGAGAGTGGCGGGCAGCGCGGACATTCACTGGACACCGCCTCTGTGCGGTGCGGCTCTAGCACTTCCCTGTCTTTTTATCCAGAGCGCCCCTCCCGTGGGTAGGAGCCCCCCTGTGTGTAGGTGAGGCGCTGGAGGCTCCGGGGAGGAACAGCCCTGCCCGACCCTCGGCGGGACATAGGAGCTGGATGGAAGCCTCGAGCCTGAGCCCGGAGCTCTGCTGGGCTCCCAGGCCACTCTGAGGTGCCCTTCAGGGCGGGTCCCTAGAGGTCTGGCTCCCCAGACTGCCCAGCAGTTCCCCACTTCTTACCTGAGGCTGCCAGCTCTGACTCAGGGAGCGCCCTCCAGCATGAGGTCAGGACAGTCAGGCCTCGGCTCTCGAACGTCTCCCGTCCCCACAGTCGCCTCTCAGCCGACAGCCCTTTCCTGCCGACACCTGTGGGCAGCCAGGCGCCTCTCAGGGGACAGACACACGAGAGAAGAGTCAGGGAGTTTTGCTGTGAATATCCTCGTGTTTTTTTGCTTTTGTTGCTGCTCATTATTATTATTAAATTTTCATTTTTTTTTTTTTTAATCCTCACCCAAGGACATTTTTCCATTTTTTGTTCAGGCAGAGTGGGAGGGAGAGAGAGGAACAGAGAGAGAGAAACATCGACGTGAAAGGGACACATCGAGTGGTTGCCACCCGCACAACCAACCAGGGCCGGGGACAAACTGCAACCGAGGTACATGCCCTTAGCGGGAACCGAACCCGGGTCTCTCAGGACCGCAGGCCGACGCTCTAACCGCTGAGCCAAACCGGCCAGGGCTAAATTTTCATTTTTTACTGGACATTTTATTTCCTTTCTGCTAAGTTTTCATCTATATTTTATGTTCTTTATGTTGTTAAAGTATTTAATTATTTATTCTTTAAATTGATTCTAGACAGAGGGCAAGGGAGAGAGAGAAACATCGATGAGAGAACATCGACTGGCTGCCTCCTGCATGCCCCCCCCTGGGGATCAGGCCCACAACCTGGGCATGTGCTCCAACCAGGAATTGAACTGGCGACCTCTTGGTGCAGGGTCGATGCTAAACCCCTGAGCCACACCGCCGGAATAAAGTATTTATTTATAGACTAAACAGTAGATTAGACATGTATCGTATATAGGAAAGGATAAAACGGAATCATTTTGGGGATCTGGAGTGGATGAATTCGATTTACATCATTTCTTTTTTTATCCTCACCCAAGGACACCTTTCCATTTTTTTGTTCAGATAGAGTTGGAGGGAGAAAGAGAGAAAGAAACATCGATGTGAAAGAAACACATCGAGTGGCTGCCACCCGCACGACCAACCAGGGCCAGGGACAAACTGCAACCGAGGTACATGCCCTTAGCGGGAACCGAACCCGGGTCTCTCTGGACCGCAGGCCGACGCTCTAACCGCTGAGCCACACCGGCCAGGCCGATTGACATCATTTCTAATGGAAAAGTGCTTCGGTTTTTGAACAGCCTCCCGGAACGAGTAAGGTTTGGGAGCCGAGGTCCCCTGTGCTGCTTCAGAAGCATGGTCCCAGGCACGTTTCACAGTCTGTCTCCAGCTGAAGTCAGCCTGTGTGTGTCTCCTTAGGGGATCCTCCTGGTCGGCAGTGAGGAGCAGAAGGCCAAGTATCTGCCCAAGTTGGCATCTGGGGAGCACATCGCCGCTTTCTGCCTGACGGAGCCAGCCAGGTCTGCTTGGCATGGAGCAGCGTCTCCTGGGGTGCAGGGGGCGAGGGCTGTCGTCTTTGCTGGGCAGATGCTGGCTTTCGCTCCTTCTCTCTCTGAGACCTTCCAGGGGTCAACTCAGCAGCTTTTGTTCCCAGCCCTCTCACGCCTGTCTCTCCGTCCCAGTGCGAGCTGAGTGAGGATGCCTGACAGCACCTGTCGGGTGACCATGTTGTGTGTGCAGCAGCTGCTTCCAGGACCTTGAAGCAGCTCCGAGACGGAGGGCGGGTGGCACGTCCCTTGTGCAGACGAGGGCTGAGGTTCAGGGAGGCTGTGTGCCGAGCCCGAGGTCACATGCCGGACGGAGCACGGCGGGCGAGGGGCCAGGGCTGCTGACTGCACGTTCGTTGTCTGGACCACACTTCGTCTTGCTTCCCTCCGCCTGGGGTCTGGGGTGCCCGGAACTCGTCCTCACGGGGGTTTTGATGAGTCTCTTTTTAGCACATATTTAAACCTAAGCCGGTTTTTCTTCATGCCACTCTTTCACCTGATGTGATAAAATCCACCTGCCACCTGCTTTTGTAAAGAGAGTGTTAGTGAGACCTGCCTTCGTGCCGCAGCGGCAGAGTGGAAGAACCGGGACAGGTGCCCTGTGGTCCGAAAAGCTGGATGTGTTTATAATCTGCTCTTATTTTAAGTTTGCGAAGTAGAAACCTTTATTTTGGGGCCTTCCAAACCATTCTTCTCGATTCCCAGCGTCACCCCAGCAGCCTGTTTCTGTCCCTGCAGTGGCAGTGACGTGGCCTCCATCCGGACCAGGGCATCACTAAGCGAGGACGGGAAGTGCTACGTGCTGAACGGCTCCAAGGTACTGCTGCACAGCCTCCGGGCCTCGGCCGCGGCCTTCAGCTCCATGCCCGCCCCACGCCCCACGCCCCACGCCCCAGGGCACGCAGGGCGCACATCATCTTCGGACCATTGCTTCTTGGATGGATGCCACTTTCCTCTTTTGGAAGGAGAAAGGGACTCAGAGGCTCAGCAGACGTCTGTGCTCAGCGGCAGGGACGGGACTGGAGCCAGGAAGTCTGGCTGCACAGTCTGAATGTGTCCATGGACCCGTTACCTCCCGTAGCTGCTGCTCTTTGGTGTTTGTTTGTAAACTTTTTTTATTATGAAAATTTTAAAACATACACAAAAGTTTCGTACAGTGAACTGCTGTGTACCCGTCACCCACCTTCAGCAGTTAGCTTTCAGCCAGTCCTGTCTCCGTCAGCGTCCCCACCTCCGGCCTGCATCCGTGCCTGTTTCAGCATCTTCCAGGCAGGACTCTTACTTCCTTACTGTCTAGTCAGCATTCACATTTCTCTGATGATCTCAGACCTTTTTCTTTGTGAGCTGTTTGCTTGAATTCAGGTCCAGAGTTCCACAGATGCAGTGTGTTGAGAAGCCTGTCTTCACCTCTCCCTTCCTTTCTGCTTTCTTTCCCCCCATCTCCTTGCTCCTTTCTGTCCCCATCCCCCTTTCCTGAGGACACCCTTTTGTTTAGTGCTGGAGCTTGAATGTCGTAGAACCATTGGATACTCCCCCCCCCCCCCAACACACTCACTGTCCCCCATGTCTCTCGGGACAGTCTGCACTGTGGAGAGACCGGGCGGAGCACCTGTGCTCCGCATGCAGCTGGGCGTCCCAGAGCCAGGGCTCATGCTCTGTGCTGGGGTTTGATGGGCAGTTTGCTGTATTGTGGCAGAGAAGGGACTTAGAGGTGGCTCATGATAGTTTGGTTTTCTCCAACGTTCTTTTGCTTTTTCCTTCAGGTCTGGATCACCAATGGAGGACTTGCCAATATTTTTACTGTTTTTGCTAAGACCAGCATTGTTGATTCTGACGGCTCAGTAAAAGACAAAATGACAGCATTTATAGTAGAAAGAGACTTTGGTGGAGTCACTAACGGGAAGCCCGAGGATAAGTTAGGCGTCCGTGGCTCCAACAGTAAGTTTCTGTGTGTGTGTGTGTGTGTGTGTGTGTGAGAGAGAGAGACCCTTTAGCCCTATCCAAATGTTGAGATAAAATGAGATTTAAGTAGGTTTGATTGTACTTAAACATTTTACAAAGTCAAAATAAGAATGCCATGATGGTGGTCTAAGTAGTGCTGCGATGAACATAGGGGTGCATCTGTCTGTTTGAATTCATGTTCTTATTTTCTTTCAATAAATGCCCAGAAGTATAATTGCTGGGTTGATGGTATATTTTTAATTTTTTGAGGAATCATCATACTGTTCACCACAAGGACTGGACCCCACCAGCAGCTCTCAAGAGTTCCCTGTTCTCCAACTCCTCGCCCGCACATGTTATCTGTTGCCTTCTTATGGTAGCAATTCTGATTGGTGTGAGGTGATATCTAAGTGTAGTTTTGATTGGCATTTCCCTGATGACCAGTGAGACTGAGCACCTTTACTCTGTATGTTCTCATTGGATAAATATCTTTATGTTCTTTGTTCATTTTTCTATCACGTCGTTTACTTTTTGTGATTGAGTTTCGTGAGTTTCTTAAATATTTTGTATATCAACCCCTTATCATTTGAAATCTATTTCCCCACTCAGTAGGCTTGTCTTTTGTTCTCTCTGCTGTGCAGAAGCTTCGAGTTTGCTGCAGTGCGTGTGCTCACTGGTGCTTTTCTCCCCTGCTCAGGGGGTGTGTCCACAAGGACATCGCTCCAGCTGATGTCGGACAGTCTCTTCCCTGTGCAGTGTCACAGGAGGTCCAGTCTGTGACCACTGTGACCTCATTCTTGTGCACGGTGCCAGAGAGTCGCCCAGTGTCACGTTTTTGCATGTATCTGTCCAGTTTTTCCAACACCACTTGTTGAGGAGACTCATGACTCCATTGTCCATTTTTACCTCCTTTGTCGTAGATTGGTTGCCATGTAAGTGCATGTTTATTTCTGGGCTCTCTATTCTCTTCTTCTGGTCTATGTGTCTGTTTTTGTTTTTGTTTTGCCAGCACGATACTGTTTCGATTATTATAGCTTTGCAGTGTAGTTTGAAATCAGGGAGTGTGATGCCAACAACTTTGTATTGCTTTCTCAAGATAACTTTGGCTGTTTGGGGTTTTTTGTTCAATATCAACTTCAGGATTATTTGTTCTGGTTCTGAACAGAATGACTATATCTGCACCACTGTGTTCATTGCATCATTATTTACAGTAGCCAAGATACAGAAGCGACCCAAGTGTCCACCAATAGACGACTAGATAAAAGAGGTGAAAATGTACAATGGAGTAATGACAGTCTCTTCAACAAGTGGAGCACACTGTTGGAAAGGAGAGAGTTGGCTCCCAGAGGAGGGAGTGTGTGGTTACAACCAGCCCCTGGGAGGTTTTGTTTGACTGATGCTGCCTGTTGAGCAGTGGATGTTCCAGCAGAGGAAGGACAGGTTCAGAGGCCCTGAGCCAAGAAAGAGCTCAGTGTGCTGGTGGGGAAAAGGCAGCCAGAGTGCGGGGCTGAGGGAGGCAGCAGGCCTGCCACTGTGCTCCACAGTGGGCACTGTCCGCACTGAGGTCCGGGGAGGTGCTGCCCACTGGGATTAGCAGTGGCCCCATGAGAAGGGCCTGGATGGCACAAGATGAGGTCAGAGAGGGAAGAAGGATCCTCCCCACACACAGCATCCTGTGAAGGAGCAAGAGCTGCTAGGAGAAGGGCCTGAGCCTCAGCCCATGTGCTCGAGCCATGCGTGGACCCGTGGCCAGAGAGATGGGCATTTCATTGTGTTTCAGAACCAGCCATTTGAACGCGGCTGTAATTGTAGAATGGAAGGTCAACAGAACCTGGCTGCCCACACTTGGTTTTTCTTTCAAAGAGCTTGGCTACTTGAGCCATGACTTCCCTGTTCTGGGCTGCCTTTTCTCCAGCATGTCTTTAGGACATAACACAGAAGACACTTTCACAGAGAACACGGGAGAGCAGCTCAGTCCCTTCCTGCCCCTTCTCCCGTCACCCTGACCTCCAGTTCTTCAACATGCGGCCCTCACGGTGAGGTCTGCTAGTTGTCGGTCGCTTCTGTGGTAGCGACCTCGGAAACCACCCAGATCTCGGCATTTATTTCTCTCCCATAGTTCCCGGGTGCTGTGGGTTGGGTCCAGGCATGTTTTCTTGAACATGCTGGAGCGAGTCCTCACAGCAGGGCCCAAGGAGCCAGACTGGATCAGCACAGTCACGGTCTCCGCTCACGAAGGGTGGGCTCCGTGCCCCTGGCCACCTCGAGTCACGTGACCAGACCTGGCATCGCGGGCAGGGAAAGGCCAGTCTGCTGCTTCCACAGACGCAGAGCCAGGTTGCATCTGAACAGAGCGAGGGCCTTGGCCGGGCCGTAGGGAGCGCTGAGCCGCCTCGCTGCTCCGTCTGCCTGGCTCTCCCATCCGTCAGCCTCACCTTAGGGAAGCCTGGCAGAGACCCCAGTGCAGGTGGCATCACCCACGCCCTGCAGCCTCCATTCGTCACCGTGCTGTGCTTATTGCACCCATCACACCTAACACAGCACAGAGCGCACAGCGCCTTGTAGTTATCTGCCTAACTGAAGTGTGAGCTCCATGTGGACAGGAACCGCGCCTGTCTGTCCTGCCCTGTCAGTAGAGGCAGAGTGAATGAATGAATGCATTTCACGCCTGTGGGTCAGTGCAGAGCAGTTTGCATTTATGGTCTGTGACTGTTTTGCAGCGTGTGAAGTCCATTTTGAAAACACCCAGGTGCCCATTGAGAATGTTCTGGGAGAAGTTGGAGGCGGGTTCAAGGTGAGTTGCAGCAGCAGCCCACAGGAGTGCTGTGCAGTTTCTCGGGGCCCCTGTGGGCCCAGCTTCCTGTCCGTCCTGCTTGCCGTGTGGTCCCTTTGGAAGGGGGGAGATGGGCTCCCAGAGCAGGGATGTGTGGTGAGAACTAGGTCCCTGGGAGGCTTTGTCAGTCTTGAGTAGGGACAGGACGCTCTCCAGCCAGCGTGAGACCGCAGGCCAGCAGGCACCGAGAAGCTCAGGTTCTCTGTGCGTCACCCCGATCCTGAAGCCCTAAGGTTTCTTAGTTTTGTGGGGTGTTTTTGAGTCAGATTTATTATTATATTTTTATTGACAGGTAATTCATATAATATATAATTCACCATTTTCAATTGTACACATTGGTTGTTTTTAATACACTGGGTTGTGTAACCATCACCATGGTCCGATTCCAGAACACTCCAGCACCCCAGGAAAAATGCCACCCATCTCCATCCCTCAGCAACCACCGTTTCAATCTCTGCCTTTATGGATTTGCCTATTTTGAACACATCACATAATTGTATCTTTATGTGGCTTTTTGTGTTTGGCTTCTTTCGTATAGCATTACATTCTCACAGGTTATCCAAGTTGTAGCATTTGTCATTCCTTTTACAGGCTAAGTGATACTCTACTGTGGATAGACCACATTCTGTTTATTCATTTATCAGCTGATGGACATTTGTGTTGTTTCTACCTCTTTGCCATTATTAGTAATGCTGCTATGAACATGTGTGTACGAACTTTTGTTTGAACAGTATGTTTTCTTTTTTTTTTAATCCTCACCTGAGGACATTCTCCATATTTTGTTCAGATAGAGTGGGAGGGAGAGAGAGAGAGAGAGAAAGAGAAACATCGACGTGAAAGGGACACATCGAGTAGCTGCCACCCACACGACCCAACCAGGGCCGGGGACAAACTGCAATCGAGGTACATGCCCCTAGTGGGAACCAAACCCAGGTCTCTCTGGACCACAGGCCGACGCTCTAACCGCTGAGCCACACTGGCCAGGGCTGTGTGAACAGTATGTTTTCAGTTCTGTTGGGTATTTGCCTAGAAGTGAAATTTCTGGGTCACATGGTGATTATGTTCACTGTCTGAGGAGCGACCCGGCTGCTTCCACGGTGGCTGCACCACTTACCTTCCAGCACTGTGGGCGGCTCTAGTTCCCTGCATCCGCACCGACACTTGTCCATTCAAACACTCACAGCCGTCATCCTGTGTGATGTCGTATCTCGTTGTGGTTCATTTGCATTTCCCCAGTGGCTAGTGTTGCGTCTCTTCATGCATTTATTTGCCATTTGAATATGTTTGGAGAAATGTCTTTTCAAATCCATTGTCCATTTTTTTTTTCTTTATTGATTTTAGAGAGAGAGAGGAAGGGAGAGGGAGAGAGATGGAAACATCGATGAGAGAGAACATCGACTGCACACCCCCCACTGGGGATTTGGCCCACAAGTTGGGTATGTGTCCTGACTGGGAATCAAAGCTCTTGGTCATGGGTTGATGCTAAACCACTGAGCCACACCAGCCGGGTTCCATTGCCCATTTTTAAATCTCTTTGTTTGCTGCCCCCACTCATGCACTGGGTCACCCAGGTGAGTGTCTGGCCCCCTTCGGCTGTGAAGCAGGGAACAAAGCAATGCGTTCCTCCCCAGTGCTGTCGAGACGCTGCTCGGTGCACGAGGAGCAGACAGTGGTAGAGGCGGAAGGACAGACAGCAGCATCTGTGTGCAGTGGCGGCTTGTTTGCTACTCGGGTCACCCAGACCATACACGACTTCGAGAACACAGACAAAGAGAAAGCGAACCCCCTGGAACCTGTCCCCAAGACTTGGCATCCGTTGTCCACATTGCTGGTGCTCATCTTTCCAGATCTTCATAAAGAAAGACCATCTGTCCCTTAAACGTCTGGTGTGTGTGCTCTAGCCAGCGTTTTTGTCATTTACCAATAAATCCTAATGTAAACCCAAACCAGCTGTAGACTGTAACCAGGAATTAAAAGCATTTGTCTGATCCAAAGAGCTACAGCCGGGAGACAGACGGGTCTGCTGCGCGTGAGCGAGGTGCCCGGGGTGTGCGGTCTGCTCGCACGGCAGGGTCGGGTCAGTTGGTGGAAAGAAGGCGGCAGGTTCCCTGCAGGAGTTGCCTCAGGGTGACCGCGGGGCAGCGTGAGGGCGGCCAAGAGTCCAGCCTGAGGTTCTCCCTGGCACGTGAGCACGCGAGGGGCCCTGTCCGCACATGGCCGCTCGGCTGATCCGTAAGGCTCGGGCCCTGGGGTGGCCGGGGAGGCCCAGCTCAAGGTTCTCCTCGGGTGGGCACATGTGCTGCCCAACATTCCCTCTCCCCACACCCACCCACTGGGCTCGTGTACCCCTTTACGCCCCCGTTCTACCACTGACCACCTGTGGCCTAGTCAGCTGCTTGGCTGTGTGCGTGCAGCCTGTGGAGGGTGCACCACGGATCTGGGGAGTCAGGTACGTAGGCTGCGTGCCTTCCCCTCCCCACCAGCTGCTCCCCATCCGCACAGGCGGGGAGCTCACACTGGGAAGGGGAGCTTGTTACAGTCTGAAGCTGGTTTGGGTTTACATTAGGATTTATCGAAAAATGACAAAAATGCCGGCTAGAGCACACACCCCTGCGAGTCAGGCAGGTGCTGGCTGGGACCTTGGGAGGGCGTGCCCCAGCCAGAGCCTCAGGTTGTCCCGTGAGAGGAGGTCCTGATGCTGGCGCGTTGTTGGAGTCTGAGCAGCTCGTGCCTGTGAGCTCAGTCACTGCTACTTTCCCCGGGACAGAGAATTGGCCTGTTCTTTTGGAATGAGGGGGTCCCAGTCCTTTCTCAGGGGTGAGTCCAAGGATGTCTGAGAGCCACTGCAGGGGGCTGCTCTCCGCCTGCTCAGTGAGGGCTGGCAGGATGGTTCCCTCGACGCCGACCTGCCTCCTGTTCTCAAACCTGGTGGGAACAGGCGAGCACTGCTGTGGTGTCCCCTCCAGTCCCCGGGGTCCTGGGGTGCCCAGCAGTGTGGGAGCTGGACTCAGGGCGTGGGCTCAGCGAGCTCCCCTCGTGTCTCTGCAGGTCGCCGTGAGCATCCTCAACAGCGGGCGGTTCTCCATGGGCAGCTGTGTGGTCGGGATGCTCAAGAGACTGATCGGTAGGTGGGTGAGGGACAGGGGCCCTGGCTCAGCCGTGTCCCTGCCGCCTGCACCCCAGCCTGGAGGCTGCCATGGCGGGGAGGCTGCTGCTGAGCCCCCCTGGCCTGTGCTCTCTGCAGCAGGTCTGGGCCCAGTTTAGATCAGAGGGTGTACTTGGGGTGTCCCCACAGGCTCAGTGTCCATGCTTCAGCCTCTATTGCACCTGCTCAGAGGGGGTGGGGGGCGCAGCTGCCAGAGGGGGAGGGGCAGCTGCTCTGACCGATAAGGGCGGAGCTGCTCAGTGAACATCCAGGTGTGAGCCAGACACCTGTGGACCTTAGCCCTGAGTCTCCCAAGATCCCTGTTTTGTAGGTGGCCCTTTCCACAGTGGGTGAGGAACCCAGATATCTCAGCTTCTTGATCTTCTGTTGATGTTTTCTGTTAGGATGCCTGAAATCTGCATTTTCCTTTGCCAGTGAACCTGAGATAGTCCTATTGGGTTTTGTTGGGCGCAGAGCATCACTATGTCAGCTGTGTGGGAAGCGCAGGGGGCCCTGGTGCGCATGGTCGGGGTTCCCCAGGGGCCACATACCGTTGATTGCTTACGAGCAAGGTGGGCTGGGAAGGCTGTTTTGGGCTCTTACTTCCACCCTGTAGACGGGGAGACTGCTGCTCAGAGGGTGGGGTTTGCCAGGCAGCACCTGTCAGGCGAGAGCTCAGGGCTCAGCTCACTTGCCGAGCTGCCCGTGGTCTTTGGCTCAGACTCCCCGCTGGAGAGAAAGTGCCAGGCTCGAGCCTGCATCTGACTCTGCACTGACTCCCCCGGCCGCCACGGCTGCAGCACCACCAGGCGTGCATGGCCCTCCTTCCCCGGGACTGACTGGGCAGCGGGAGCTCTGGCCGTCGGGGTGCGTGGGCTCGGCAGACCCGTGTCCCGTACGTGTCTCAGGCTCCTGCCTGGGTGCTCGGAGGCAGTGATGACAGCCTCAGGACACCCCTTAGGGCAGCCCGAAAACTCCCTTCCAAACACTCTGCCCCCCTCAGAAACCACTGCCGAGTTCGCCTGCACGAGGAGACAGTTCAGCAGGAGACTCAGCGAGTTTGGGCTGATCCAGGTGAGCAGGCTGTCCAGGCACACGCGTCAGTTTCAGGGTGAGCGTGGTCGTCCGGTGTCTGTGCCGTGACGGGCAGAGGACCAGGCTTTATCTGTGGGACACCCCTTTGTGGATGCTCAGGCTTGGTTCTCTGGTGTCCCGTGAGGTTTTGGACTTAATTTCCTTCTCTGCTGGTGGGCACGTTTGGGTCTCAGCACATGTAAAGTACTTCTTGATTGTGTTTTTTTCTGAATACTCCAGGAAAAGTTTGCCTTGCTGGCTCAGAAGGCTTATGTCCTAGAGAGTATGACCTACCTCACTGCGGGGATGCTGGACCAACCCGGGTTTCCTGACTGCTCCGTCGAGGCTGCCATGGTGAAGGTGATCCCAGCAAACGGGGGCCGAGGAAAGCTCCTTATTCAGCCGGTCCCGGGGCCACCCAGTGAGGCCAGTCAGGGCTCCCGCCTGTCCCGGACTCACCTCCAAGCCCAGTGCGCTGTCGAGCCTCCCGCTCCGTCCCCGGCCACGCTGCCCTGTTCTGAGGTCCTCCTTTTGGAAGGGAGCTGGCCCTCATGACCTGTGCTGGCCTTGCTCTCGGTCCGTGGCAGGTGTTCAGCTCGGAGGGGGCCTGGCAGTGCGTGAGCGAGGCGCTGCAGGTCCTCGGAGGCACGGGCTACACGAAGGACTACCCGCACGAGCGCTTGCTGCGTGACGCCCGCATCCTGCTCATCTTCGAGGTGTGTGCTCTGCTGGGCCCAGCTGGCTGTTCTCGTCTGACCCTCCTCGGTCCTGCCTGGACCCGTGCTGCCGATGGGCAGGCTGAGGCGGAGGCCGAGCAGCTCACTCAGGGTCTCGCTCCCAGGACCCACACTGCTGAGCCTGCCCCTCCTGGCCGCCTGCCGCAGGTCGTGGTCAATTGCTTCTGCCGGCGGTGGTGGGACAAGCAGGGATCTTGTCCTGGGCTCGGCCGCGAGTGGTCGGTCTGGGTCTGGGTTCTCTTCTCAGTAAGGAGCGGTCATCTCCCAGGCTCTCCAGCTCGACAGTCTCGCTCTCTGATTGCTGTCCCCATGAGTTCACCAGCCTGAAGGTGCTGGGAGGGGCCTGGGCAGGGAAGATAGGGGTGTCGGGGCCAGAGAGACACCTCAGACACCTTCTGTCTTTGGGGTGCTGGTGGTCCTGATGGTGTAGACTGAGTGACCCAGGAGAAAACCAGAAACCTGGGAGTGAGGGGCAGGTGTGCCTCTCTGAGGGGACTGAAGTGTCAGGAAGCAAGTGTGCCGGGCCCTGGGGCAGAAAGGACTCGGCCAGGCCTGGGCAGGGCCGAGGGCTGAGCACAGACAGGACCTGCCCGCTCTCGGTGAGCGGAGGTAGAGTGAGCAAGTCTGGTGGGTTTGTGGCTGGTCCTCTCGGAGGACTGGGGCCGGTGAGGAGGGTGGAAGGGGAGACGGGCAGCCAGGCAGCAGGACCTCAGGCCTCGCGCCAGGGCCAGGGGAACTGTCAAGGTCAGCCCTGCCTGAATCGCTTCCAGTGGGTGAATGGGCACCGGCTCGGCCACCCGTCAGCGCAGTGCATGTGGCTGACCTCCACGGGCAGCTCCTGACCTCTGCACTGCTGGCCACAGGGAACCAATGAGATTCTCCGGATGTACATCGCCCTGACGGGCCTGCAGCACGCCGGCCGCATCCTGACGGGAAGGATCAAGTAAGTGCCCCTCCCACTCTGCTCCTCGGTCCCACCTGGACACGAGGGGGTGGGCCTTGCAGAGCTGAGCTCACTGCTGGCTGCCTGGACAGGGAAGCTGGGCAGGGGCCTCGGCCAGTGAGTGTTGGGCCTTGAAAGCTCCAGAGCTGGGCTTTCCCTGCGGGTGATCGGACGGGGCCCTGGGCTCTGCAGGGAGCTCAAACAGGGCAGAGTGACCACTGTGCTGGAGACCGTTGGCCAGAGGCTTCGGGACTCCTTTGGTCGAACCGTGGACTTGGGGCTGACGGGGAACCTTGGAGCTGTGCACCCCAGTGTTGCGGTGAGTGCGCCCAGCAGGTATAGCCGATTGGTTACTCCTTCACAGAGGGGTGTGGTCAGCCAGGCTGAGGGACAGCTCATGTCCTGTCTCCACCTGTCTCCGTGGGGCAGACAGGGCCCCCCGGGGAGGGTCCTGCGCTGAGCCCTTCCCTCTGGCTCCAGGACAGCGCCAGCAAGCTCGAGGAGGACGTGTACTACTTTGGGCGCACCGTGGAGACGCTGCTGCTCCGCTTTGGCAAGGTAGCCAGACCCTGCAGACCGGGTTGCAGGCCCTGCCGCGTGGGGTTGGGGAGATGGGTCCCCGTCTGAGGTGATGTTCTACCAGCACCCACCTTTGGAACCAGGCCGAGGAGGAAATCCTACACTGTGGAGGGGTGTTGGGGAGGCAGGGCTGGCTGTGGCTGCCTGTCTTGGGGACCGCTGAGCGAGCTGGGTGGGAGCCCCTGCTGGGGGAACACCCGCCAGGTGAGGGGCTCCCTGCATTTGATGGGCGGCCCCAGCAGGGCCTGCATCTCAGGACCTGACCTGTGATGCTCTGCTGCTGACGCCGTGCTAACCCCTGAGCTCTCGTCTCAGCCGGGGCCGTGGGCCCTGGTCTGTCCTGGACCCTCGCCCACATCTAGACGGCGAATGGGACAGCGACCCCCACGACACACCTGTCAGCCCACAGGGGAAGGCGGTGTCAGCCCCTCCCCTGAGGCAAAGTGGGGCGCAGAGGCGGGTGCAGATGTGCCGGGGGGACTGGGGTTGTCGCAGGTGACGGCCTGCAGCCTGGGCCTCTGTCCCCAGACCATCGTGGAGGAGCAGCTGGTCTTAAAGCGGGTGGCCAACATCCTCATCAACCTGTACGGCATGACGGCCGTGCTGTCTCGGGCCAGCCGCTCCGTGCGGACAGGACTCCGGAACCATGACCACGAGGTGACCCACCCGCCCCGCCCCACAGGCAGCTCCCACTGGCTCCGTCCTGCGGTGCTTTAGCGGCCTGGTGGTTGTGGGAGGGTGTCACGGCCCCGATGGGGGGTCTCACGTGGGAGGGGCTGGGCAGGTCCAGGCCTTGGCACCCAGCTGTGGTCCCAGAGGGGTGAGGGGGGCAGGTCCGTGCCCAGCTGAGCTGGAGGCCGAGGGTTCGCTGACTGTGCCTGAGAGAAGGGTGGGGACTGATGGGCCCAGACCCAGAGCCCTCACCTGTCTGTCCCCTCGCCCTGCGGTCAGTGCTGCTGGGTGGGTGTTTGGTCTTCATGAGCCACTGAGCCACGGTGGCCACGGGCACTGCAGCGTCCGTCTCGCAGGTGAGGGAACAGGCTCAGAGATGTTGCGTCGTTGGCCCTCGGGACAGAGCCAGTTTGGCTCAGGGCTGGAATTAGAGCCCAGGACTGACTCTGAGCCAGGCCTCGACCCCAGCCAGCTGCCTGGCCGTGTGGAGCGGAGCCGTCAGCCACCTGGGGGGAGTCCTGTGGCCCGGGGACCTCAGGGTTCTCTCTGACCCGCTTCTGGCAGGTTCTGCTGGCCAACATGTTCTGCACCGAGGCTCATTCCCAGAATCTCCTCTCCCTCTCTCAGCTGGACAAGTGTGAGTGGGCTGCTTGGGGGAGGAGGGAGGGTCTGTTCCAGGCCACCTGACGGCCTGCGTCTGCCCCGGGCCGACTCGGGGAGGGGGAGGCCCCTCCTTTCCCTGCACTGCAGGCGGAGCCGCCCTCGCACCCGTCCCTGTGCCGCCCTCGCCCGCGCGGGGCTCTTCTCAGCCTGCTGCCGGGTGCCTGAGAGACGGCTGAGGTCCTCCTCCTGGCCTCGGGCTTCATGTCCTGTGTCCCTGCAGAGCCACCTGCTGCGAGGAGGGTGTGGAGGGCGCGTCGTGCTGTGCAGAGGGGCAACGGGTCCCCTGCAGCCACAGGCTTGGATCGCAAAGGGCCTTCTGTTGAGCGAGTGCCCTCTCCCACGAGATCTGGAGATTTTAGGGAGCAGGACGAGCCCTTGGTCACTTGGAATAAAGCCTCTATGTGTAGTCCGGATTCCTTCCTGGGGTTGGAGGGGTGGTGGGGTTACCCACAGGCTGACTGTTGGAAAAAATGCTCCGGCAACATTCCTGTTATCATGAGGAGAAAGGTCACCCACTGTCTTTTTCCCTCCCAGATTCTCCGGAAAATCTAGACGAGCACATCAAGAAAGTGTCCCAGCAGGTCCTAGAGAGGCGAGCATACATCTGTGCCCACCCTCTGGACCGGACGTCCTGAAGCTGAGGGACGGTGCTCCCTGCCGCCACCAGCCCCCAGGACGCAGCCTGTTGCTGGACAACTCGCTTTTCCAGAAGCTGTGGAACCTGCGGGTATTTCAAGTTGAACTGTTTCTTCCCGGTCTTCACCTGGACATCTTCCTCCTGGTCCAAGGAGGCCTCTCGGCTTGACCTGCGGGCACTGCTGCCTGACGTACTGTCCCAGGCCCTGAGGGGAGGGTGGGGCTGCGGAGACCTGGGGTTTCAGGATGCGCAGTTACTTTAGGCGACTTCACAGTGGAAACAAGCTGCCGTCCGGGCACGGACAACCTTCCTGTCGACGGCACGGCCCCCGGAAGGTCTGTGCACATGTCCTTCATTCAGACTAGGAGCAAGATGTGCTTAAAACATGTAGCGGGAACCTTGTACCCAAAGAGAATATAAAATGGCACAGTTGTGTTTACTCGGCTAGTGACGTTTTTCCTCCGAACCAGCCTTTACTAGGTGACGGCATGACCCCAAGGAGCACCCTGTGGGGACTGTTGTAACCCAGGAGAACCGACCTCGCTCAGACATCAAGTATTTTTGAACATTAGGAGCTTTATTACCTGCGCAGGGACTGCAGCCAACCTACACCAAGGAGATGGCAGCCCCGAGCTCAGGGGGAGGGTTGCTGATAGAGGGCAGGGGTCAGTCAAGAGTTTAGCAGAGCAAGCGAGCTGCGTGTGCAGAAGCGGATACCAGCAGTTAGTAACTGCATAAGTTGTTTATATTTCTTCACATTTACTAGACCCCAGCCCTGAATGTCTCATCGCCCCGTCTGGCATCTCCTGATTAGTGAAGTTCATAGTCAGTACCCTTGTGGTGATGGCTGACGCATACCTTCCTCTTCAAGAATTTTTGCAGCCCTGGCTGGTTTGGCTCAGCGGTTAGAGCGTCGGCCTGCGGTCCGGAGAGACCCGGGTTCGGTTCCCGCTAAGGGCATGTACCTCGGTTGCAGTTTGTCCCCGGCCCTGGTTGGTCGTGCGGGTGGCAGCCACTCGATGTGTCCCTTTGACATCGATGTTTCTTTCGCTCTCTCTCCCTTCCTCTCTCTCCCTCCCACTCTATCTGTACAAAAAATGGAAAAACATCCTCGGGTGAGGAAAAAAAATAAAAAATAAATAAAAAAAGAATTTTTGCAAAAACAACTCGGGTTCAAGGAACCCAGGAGAGGTTCCTTCTTCCAGCGGATGGAGAATGACTGGGTTATAACAGCGATGCTCAGTGTGTGGTCATCCCACGAGGAGGAGGCCTTGAGAGCTGAGGAGTGGGCGCCCCTGCAGGGCCATGGGGTTCTCGCTTCAGTCCCTCCCAGATGACTGCTGCACACAGCGCTGCCTGTCACTGACA